ACCATAGCGAAGAGCTCAACAATTGCGATGCAAATATTTATAGAAAAGGCACAGGGAAACTACTTTACGACGGTGGGAAAGTGACTGAAGTTGATATGTCAGGCCAGGACCAATAATATTGCTGATACTTCTTTGGACTTTATCAAGAATCTCTAAATATATAGCAGGAGCGCTGGACCATAAGTGGCAGCAATATTCAAAACATGGACGAATGGTAGACTTATAGAGAGAAAAAATATCTATCACGACACAGTGAACTAACTTTCTCAGCATCAGACCTATCAATGGATTCAATATAGTCTTTCCACGTCATGTCAGCCGACAATTTTAGCCCGTGAAGGCGCAATGAGTCACTTACCTGGAGATTAGCATCAGCCATAGTAAGCTGAAACGGATCTCTCAGATGATTAACACAGAGCGGTTTTGTTTTAGAGGCTTCAAAATTAACAAGCGGTTCTTTGCCCCACAACAGACTGTGGGTCATTTTTTAGATCAGCTACTAATTTGATCCTATCGATCAGACCTATTACCGAGTTCGTTGTTTCGATTGCTCATTTGAAGCTGAGCTGATAAAAGTGCTAAATACCTGCAGCCATGTCGTAGTCGTGAGTTCAGTTCAAATGTCAGGTAGTAAAAGTCACTTGGTTCAGTTGAATAAATTAACCATGAAACCACAAATATTGTTCAGTTTCTTACCTACAAAACTTTAATCTATGATTTATTACCATGTTCGGCTCAGCCAATCAAAGTCGACATCTCTATTTTGTCTACCATCTGACCTCAAAGATCCGTCTCAGAATGTCTGAGCCAAAATACACTGCCACCAAAAAATAATAGTCTGAAACTAATTTTTAACAATCTAACAATCAAAGCATTTTCTATACATTTTCAACTTCGTAAATTGCACGTTCCATAACTTTTAAAGATAAAAAAAAGAATTTGAAAATTTAAAATGCCCGCGTCCCAACATAACATCTTTAACCTTTGCCTGTCGGAGATAAGTACAACCGACGATGACGTTTTTATATCTCCTCCTCGCCTTCATACACATATGTAATTCCATCAACAAAAACATTACTTTAGTCCGTGAGAGCCCTTCTCGAGGACGAAATGTGCTTGTTATATAGCAATAAAGTGTCTCTGCCGACACTTTAGTTTGAACATAGATCGCCAGTGATCAAACATAGGCGATCCTATTATTGAATTAAGTAGATCCCGTGATCTTAGAGGAAACGCATGTATGGAAGGTAGCGTGACGTCAAATTGTTCACCATTTCTAGTCTATCCTCTATTACTATACGGACTGCTATTCTCTACTCTATTCACTATAGTATTCACTATACTATTTATCTATTCGGATCACTATACGGATTACTATTCTAGCGAGTATTATCGAGCAAGTACTATTAGTGTGAGATTACTCGAAGGCATCTGATACCAATATTGTTCAACGGTGATTAAAATGTCTCTACGACAACGAGTATTACGAAAGTAAAGTGGCAACGAGTATTCGTTGACACCACAAAAGTGGCAACGAGTATTTGTTGACACCCCAAAAGTGGCAACGAGTATTCGTTGACACCACAAAAGTGGCAACGAGTATTCGTTGACACCACAAAAGTGCTATGCAGATTTTTTCCAATTATTTTCCTAATATTGTTACGATATATAGAAATTTATACATCATATTCTCCTACAGTACATAACGAAATGAAAATTGAAAACACATGATGAATATAGATGTCGACAATTTATATAGATGAAGATATTCGTCTAAAATACATATCCATTTATTATCTTATTATCAGTTTTCATGTTGCTGTCTAAGAAGCTAGGCGTAAACGTATGTAACCACCGTCAGCCTAATGAGCCATATAACAAAAATTCTGATGAACACCGTGCGCAGTAGAATCAGAACGGAAATAGGACATGAATAGTGCGGTTTCGTTAAAGACACTGGAACAAGGAATGTAATATTTATGATCCGAAAGATATCAACAAGAGCAATACAAATGCAAACGAATGTATACTTGTTTTATAGATTGTCCAAAAAGGTTCGAAAATACGTCACAAAGACCTGTTTGAACTGCTATGTAAGCTTGATTTATTTGGCAAATGATACTAGAATAACACATAACATATACACTGGGAACAAACCGCCTGCACATGGACACACAATGAATTCAGTAAATACACAAGAATAGTAAGGGTCGTAAAATAAGGATGTGTCTTCTTACCAGGCTTATTCAGCCTTTCCAAGTAATCATAAGAAAATTAAAAGTCTTACCAGTGTTGATAGCAGCCACAGAAGGGAACTCCTACCGAAGGTAGTAAAGAAACGCGAGAAGAAAGGATTAAACATAAGTTGTAAGTACACGGTACAAACATTTAAAGAACTATTTTAACAGATAACAGAAAATGCGACACCGACCTCCGAGTGTCCTGGGTAAGACGATAAACTACATCCGCGTCCTGGATAAGACAATAAACTACATCCACGTGCTGGGTAAGACAATAAATTACATCCGCGTCCTGGGTAAGACAATAAACTATACCCGCGTCCTGGGTAAGACGATCAACTACAACCGCGTCTTGGGTAAGACGATAAACTACATCCGTACCCTAAGTAAGACGGTAAACTACATCTCTGATCAGGAGGTTTTGAGGAGCATGGAAACATCTCTTAATTGCTGGTGTTCCAAGGTCCACCCTGACCCGGGGTGGTGGCACCTGTCAGGGTCTCAGCTACGGACAAATAATTAACCTCCCGTAAAATGGGTCAAAACACTATAAAAGTATAAAAGTAGGTTTTAATACTAGCAATATTTTTTATTTTTTTTAATTACCAGCAATACATTTTTTAAGAAAAATTATTCACTGCAATAAATTATTACCAGCGGTATATTTAAAAAAATATATCAACAGCAATAAATTTTTGGGAAAAAATATTACCGGCAATCAGTTAAGTGCCATGCGCGATACACGCTTAGGCGAATATGTATCTGTATTATTCGATACATGATTGATGAGACAGATTTTTCCCGCGGTAGGTTGCCATTTCATTCTGCGGTAGACTGATTACCAACTGAGGCTAAAGAACCAGGTCGGTTCTGTTATGGTTAAATAGGAGAAGAAGAGGAGTCATACCTTTGCCAAGGGTATTAGCACGTAAGTGAACGTAATGGATTCGACTGGAATTCGAACTCGACTCTCCGATTCCTTAATCCGTGCCGCTATCTATTACTTCACTGTGCCTCCTTAAAATGCGTGATACACGCTGTAGCGATCAAGTATCTTTCGATACATGACTGATGAGGGAGATTTTCTCCCGCCATAGGTTGCCATTTCTTTCTACGGTAGACTGGTTGACAACCAAGGCTAAAGAAACCGGTTTGTCCTTCTCTTCAACCCCTAGCTTTAAGAGATGGATTCATGCCTTTCCCAAGTGTATTTGTGCACAAGTGAATCTAATGAACTCGATTGGAATTCAAACTCTGCCTGAATGTGCGAGAAATTTTCAGAGAAAATATTCGTCGTCCGACAGCTAAAAGACGGTTCCGGAGGACGAATATTTTCAGGCCTGTAAATGTTGTTTAATACTGTTTATTATAAACAGAGCATTTACTTAAATATTTGTATCTATAAAAAGAATGTATAAACATAAAAATGTCTTAAAATAATTGTCGGACTCTGTCCATTTCATAATGTGTGACGTCATTTGTTTACATTTGATACGTCATGAGCAGTTATGAATGTACGTGAGAGATTCATGAAAGATTGAAGTTTAAATACAGTAAATTCGACCTTGCTAACCGAACGCTCCTTCGTGGCCAAATCGGTAAAGGCACGTCAAGCTAAATGACGGTTCCGTATAGGATACAGGTTCGAATCCTGTCGGAGGACGAATATTTTCTATGAAAATTTCTTGGACATTCAGGCCGGTAAATGTTGTTTAATACTGTTTATTATAAACAAAGCATTTACTTAAATATTTGTATCTATAAAAAGAATATTAAACATAAAAATGTCTTAAAATAATTGTCGGACTTTGTCCATTTCATAATATATATATATATATATATATATATATATATATTACCAGCAATACATTTAAAAAAAAAAAGATATTACCATCAATAAAAATCTTGTCAGCATTAATAAACCAATTGAAGTTGATATGGCGTAAAACAAGTCAAACCAAACAGAACTCCGAAAGAGCAATGGTCAGCGAACGACGCCTTTCAAAAGTTAAGCAAAGTATTAAGAAACAGGAAAATGTCGTTAAAAACAGAGAAAAGTGTACTGAATCGTTATATAATATCAGTCCTTCTCTATGGCAGTGAAAGATGGACAATCTACTCACAGATGGAGGAGAGACTTCAAGGAATAGAAATGGTTATTTTTCAATATGCCCACATCGCTACCGAATGTTACACAAGATCAGTTTAAAGGGTTTAACATCAATACCGTGGGAAAATTGCCCCAGCAGCCTCGACAGTTTCCCATTTAGGGACGCCTTAAACGCCAGGCAATAAACCCAGACCCCCTCCTCTACTGACTTAGGGGAACCCTCCTGGGAATTTGGTTTAAGAAATGATCCTTAAAAGCATGAAGCAACAGAAATATGGTTCTACAGAAGGATGCTGAGAGTACTATGGGCAGAACGTGTTTGCAACTACAAAGTTTTAAGGAAATAGAAAACAAAAGAGACACATATACTTATCATCAGAAAGAAAGTGGAAATTTCTAGGGTACATATTGAGGAAAGAGGGCTTGTGAAATCTAACACTCACAGGACATACTGAAGGCAAGAATGACAGAATAAATCAGTGCAGTGGAAAACAGCGCATAATCTAACAGGGATTATGAGAGACAAAAAAGACAAACTTGGACAGGAAGCTGTGGAGAACCACGATCGTCCACGTCCTGAATTGACACGGCACATAGAAGAAGAAGAAGAATCTATTCCAGGGTCTATCTTTACTCTGACTTTCAAGAGTTTACGGCCACATCACGTTGAAACATTGGTTCCAGTACGACCACCGAAGTTAAGCAACGTCGAGTCTGGTTAATACCTAAATGGGTGAATGCTTGAGAATACCAGGTGCTGTAAGCTTGGATGTGAGTGTGGTGTAATGGATAGTCGGGTTCCAATTCCTGTTGGGTTCATTATATCCATTTGCACGCAAATACACTTGGGAAACATATGAATCCATATGCTCTCCTCCAGATATGGGTTAATTAGTAAGACTTGTATCGGTAAACCATTATTATGTAAAAAATATTACAATATGAAAATATTTTATAGGTTTTATATAACCTGCAATAGTATTATGATGACTTGCATTATTTACATTATTCGAACTGTTATCCTCATTTTTATTGTCATATTCACAACATTTCGGCCGTTGTACGCTCCGACCTTCTTCAGGTGATTGGACAAATGGCCCAGTGGATAAAGACGTTGGTTAGATCCAGTGATAGTCTCAAAGAGTTATGAGTACAATACCAGGCCACAGTTGTGGTGAGCCAAAACCTAAAGAGTTGAGTTAAATGGAAATAACTGAGACATCGGAAGAGGCAGGGCACGTGGAACTAGAACAGTCTACGAAATAAAGCGTTCGGTTCGAAATTCAAATCACCTGAAGAAGCCGGAGCGTACAACGGCCGAAACATTGTGAATATGACTAGGAAGACGAAGATAACACTCCGAATAATGTAAATAATGCAAGTAATCATAATACTTTCGCAAGTTATATAAAACCTTAAAATATTTTTAGATTGTAATATTTTCTTTGGCATAATAATGGCTTACTGATGCAAGTCTTCCTGGCACAGGTCTCGTCCCTGGGCTGGTGGTATCACGGCTAGGACTAGCTTGGACCAGCTCCGGCCTGGACCAGCTAGGTCAAGCCAAGACCAGCCATGACTAGCTTAGACCAGCTCTGACCAGCTTGGATAAGCTATGACCAGCTAAGACCAGCTTGGAGCAGCGGCCCGAGTGAAAACATTCGGGTCCCCACGTTAAAAACTGACCTTGTGTCACAACCTGACTCAGTGGGGGGGGGGGGGTCAAGTAAATACACTTACTAATCAACACATAACCATAGGGAGAGCATGTGGATTCATACGTTGCAAGTAACCTGCAAAAGGTTGATACGCCGTAAAAGTCGAATCAATCAATCTTCCTTTCTCTCCCTGAATGAATATTTTATATTTATATCTATCCCAGTTTGTTCATATCTATCGAAGGGTGTTAATATATCGGTCACAGCTCTTTGTGGGTATATTTTATTGTTTATCAAGTAGCACTTTTAAAATCGATGCAATAATTTGCGTGCGACGGAAGATAAAACAACATTTTTTTTTAATTTTTATTTTGTAAGTTATTTTAAACCACAGAAGAAGGAAGTGGAGTTGGAAACCCACCCTAAAGCAGCATGGAGAGTTTGTTTTTTTTCTATCTTATTTATGCTATCGTCTTCAGATGTCAAATGTATAAAATGATTATACCATCTTATGTCAATAATTTCTTTATCGGTACCCTCCCGAGCGCTCCTAGAATAAACCTCACAGATTGTGTTACACAGTATTAAAAATTCAGATTGTTGTAGAAAGATTTTTACCAAAGACAAGTTTGCCTATTTGTTGATCACCCGAGTAAAGTTTATTTCAATATACAGTAGAATCCCTCATATCCGGAATCCCTCATATCCGGAATCCCTTATATCCGTAGTGCCTCATATCCGGAATCACGCATATAAGGATATGATTTTGATGTATATATTTGATCTTTACTCTTTTTTTAAGCAATTCACCCCAAGCAAGGGGAAAGTGTCACTAGCATGCAAGGGGCTACAGAGGGTTGAGAACAAGAGTAAAGAAGGACGTTGAACAAGATCACGGTATCAGAAGATGTCGATTGATATTACATTTGAATATTTGGAGATTATAGCTATCAGGGAGGCAAGTAAGAGTAAGGGAGTTCCACAGACGGGAAGTTCGACAGAAGATGTCGATTGATATTACATTTGAATATTTGAAGATTATAGCTATCAGGGAGGCAAGTAAGAGTAAGAGAGTTCCACAGACGGGAAGTTCGACAGAAGATGTCGATTGATATTACGTTTGAATATTTGAAGATTATAGCTATCAGGGAGGCAAGTAAGAGTAAGGGAGTTCCACAGACGGGAAGTTCGACAGAAGATGTCGATTGATATTACGTTTGAATATTTGAAGATTATAGCTATCAGGGAGGCAAGTAAGAGTAAGGGAGTTCCACAGACGGGAAGTGCGAGAGAAGTACCTGTGAGTAGAAGAGACGGATACAGTTAACCGTTTCGACAGTGAAAGGGTGGGACCGAGATGCCAGCCTAGTAGCTCGCTTAAATTCATGCAGTCTGAGAACCAGCGAAAGTAGCTCGTCGGAACAGCTGCCGTGAAAATATTTGTAGAAGTGAAAGAGGGAGGCCACATCTCGTCTGTGATGAAGCGACTGTAGACGAGATGCCAGAGCAGGACCTATCGCATTGCATATTCGTCTCTGGATTTTGTCGAGAACCTCAAGACTTACAGAGGAGGCACCAGACCATATATGACAGCAATATTCCATGCAAGGGTGGATGGTTGATTTCTTTGAAGGATGGACTCAGACTAGAAAAAAACTTTCTGGCACGGTACAGAGAACTAACTATTTGGGTGAAATGTAACTGATTTGAAATTTCTGTTTTTCAGGAAATTTACTTTGGATAATTGCTTATGCTTATTTCACCCTAATGGCTTGTATTGGTGCAAAAGATGATGGGAATAAGAGGAAAAGAACAACTTTGGAGTTATCGCAAAAAGATGGAAATTTTAAACAGACTAGACGCTGGGGAAAGTTCATTGTAACTAATGGCTGAGTCCAACATAAGAAAGTTAACATTGTATGACATAAAATCTTCCAAAGAAAATATTCTCCAGCATTCACACTGTCACAATTAACAAGGAAATAAAAAAAACATGATTGTGATGAAACTGGGACTGAAATTGAAAAAAAAAAAACTATTGAAAAGGTTGTTAGTTTTATGGAAAGAAAGCCAGCATTCAGCTATGACAATTGCAATAACGCACACAGAGTTTAAAAATTTCAAGAACAAAAGCAAAACAAAATTCCGAAAAAGTTGAGAATGACATTAGAAGAGAAAGAATCATCATACAACAATGATTAACAAATCCTCGTTAGATTATTTGTTTTGCATACGTGGCATACTTAATTTAATGAATTTTCATTAACATTACATAATTTATTTCTTTTCCTTTAAAATCAATTCCGTTATATTTCATTCACCATTAGCTTATTTTGTTTACTATAAAACAATGAAAATAAATGTTAAATCTGATTTCAGTTCTTTTATTTTAATCTAATTATAACCCCCTCATATCCGGATTTGGTAACCAATTCCTCATATCCGGAAGGCCTTCTTAGTCCGGTTGTCAGGGATTCTACTATATTTACAGCTAACGTAAGTAACGATAGAATTTCTCAATACCTCGCTTGTTGTAATGGGCACTTGTTACGAGAATAGCACAAGAAATAGAAAAAAAAAGCTGGTGAAAGCGAGAAGAAAGGACAAACTATCAACTGTAAGAAGACAGAATATATGGTGAACAAATTACGAGTTACGAAATGTAGACACCTGAATAAAGTAGAGAAATTCACCTGAGAATTTTTGATTGCATTCTCATTCCTTACGGGTCATAAATAATCAACACTATTTTTTTGCGCTGCTTCCTGAGCTGGTAGAGCGCGGCAAATGCAATCGAGTTCAAATCACAGCTGAAGTACTTTTTTTCCACTGCACTAATGCGTTTAAGGAAAAGCGTGAATGTATTTTTTCTTCTTAGGTACCAAAACAATCTGGTCTACGAGAAGGACAACTCTGAATTCAAAACCAAGGAGGAAGCAAAAGTTCTCGATGAATCTTGTTCATACAAACTTTACCAATAATAATGAATGCGGTTGTCAAGAGCCATCTTGACTAATTTATATTTTTACGTATTATCAACACTTTGTGGGCTATTTAAAGTTTAAAATTATTTTTCTGTGTAATAATAATATTTTTTTTTGTGAGGGAAATATTGCATAAACAGTTTCAATTATTTTGCCAGATATAAGTCCTACTATTTAACCCATAGTTGGGGGAGATGGAATAATAACCTTCCCAAGGGTATTTGCGCATGTAAGTGAAAACATAGCCGACTAGAATTCGAAAATCGACTCTTCGATTGCGCATTCTGAGCCGTTAGAATAAAGGAACCGCCTACATCCTGAAATAATATTTAAAGAGAGAGAGAGAATGAGAGAGAGAGGCAGCGAGAGAGAAAGAGAAAGAGGGAAAGAGAACGAGAAAGTGGTAGAGGGAGAAAGAGAGATAGTAAGAGAGGGAAAGAGATAGAATGAAAAAGGGAGAGAAAAGAAAGTGAGAGCGAAAGAAAGAAAGAAAGACAGAAAGAATGAAAGAGGGGAGAAAGAGACAGAGAAAGAGAGAGAACGAGAAAGAGAAAGAAAGACAATGACACAAAGAGAGAGAAACAGAAAGTCAGAGAGAAAGAAAGAGAGAAAATGAAAGAGAGACAGAGAGAGATAGAAAGAGAAACACAGTGAGAGAAAAGAAAAAAGAGAAAGAGACAGAGAAAGAGAGAGAGAGAGGAGGGAGAGAGAAAGCGAGAGGAGAGAAAATGAGAGAAAAGAAAGAAAGAGAAAAGAAAAGTAGAATGAGAGAGAGAGAGAGAAAGAGAGAAAAAGAGTGAGAGGGGAGAGAGAGAAAGAAAAAATGAATGATAAAAGGAAAGAAAGAGAAAGACAGAGAGAAGGAGAAAGAGAAAGACCGAGAGAGAAAGAGGCAGAAACTGAAAGAGAAACAGAAAGAGAAAGACAGAGAAAAAAGAGAAAGAGTGAGAAAAAGTAAAGATAAATAAAGAGAGCAGAGAGAAAGAGAGACAAGGAGAGAGGGCGGAGAGAAAGAGAGAGAAAGAGAGAGAGAATTAGAGAGAGAGAGAGTAAGAGAGAGAGACGGAGAGAGAGAGAGAGAGAGAGAGATTTATCCACCCGGGACAGGTACGTTAATGTAAAATTAAGAGGCTTTCGGATACAACTGCAAGCGATAAACTCTTTATTTATTGATTAAGTCATTGCGATATTCCATTTGTCGTTTGCTATTAATAAAATCGATAGGATTGCAATTCAATACAAACTCTTGATAAATTTTCGATATTAACCAATACTGTTAAGCATTAGACAAGCATTAGTATTTGTTCTGCCTTTATGACAGTGCACTGATAGTTTTAAGGATGAGGTTGACATCATTGCATATTTATAACGTTTCGGCCGTTGTACGCTCCGACATTCTTCAGGTGGTTGGAATGTCGAACTGAACCTTTTATTTCGCTCACTGGGGTAGAATGTTCTAGTCCCACATGTCATGTTTAAGAGGGAAATTAACAGGAGATAACTGACATCCATTAAACATGAGGACAATAGTCCGAATAATGTAAATAGTGTACATAATACCTCATCTCAGAAATATAGACAGATCTGAAAGGCCGAAACATTGTAATAAATATGGCGACAAAGATGAAGAGTCCGAATAATGTAAATAGTGTACATAATACCTCATCTCAGAAATATAGACAAAACTGAAAGGCCGAAAGGTTGTAATAAATATGGCGACAAAGATGAGGACAATAGTCCGAATAATGTAAATAAGTGTACATAATATCTCATCTCAGAAATATCGACAGATACTAAACATTGTAATAAATATGGCGACAAACATGAGGACAAAGTCCGAATAATGTAAATAGTGTAAATACCTCATCTCAGAAATATAGACAGATTGAAACATTGTAATAAATATGGCGACAAAGATGAGGACAATAGTCCGAATAATGTAAATAGTGTACATAATACCTCATCTCAGAAATATAAACAGATACTAAATTAAATTGTAATGTAATTATTTTTTAATAAAGTAAATCGAAATTCTTAATTTTTATATGTCAAATTATGAAATAGTGCTCCAAACAAAAACAAAAATTTAAATATATGGAAAGTGTTTTAACAGAAGACGGAAAGTGCGACACTGAAATCTGAAGGCACATTGGGATAGCGAAAGATGGCTTACAAAAGTCAAGCAGAATATTAAGAAACAGAAAAAATTCGTTTGAAACAAAAAAGTGCACTGAACTGTTATGTAATATCAAGCATGTAACATATAGCAGGGAATACTGGACCATCTCACAGATGAAGAAGGTACGTGAAGCAACAGAAATGGGTTCTACATAAGGATGCTGAGAATACCATGGACTGAACAGGTAAGCAACGACGAAGTATTAGAAACAATGGACTCTTATAATTAACAACAGGAAGAGATATTTGAAATTTTTAGGATATATGATGAGGAATTTATTTTTTAATAAAGTAAATTGATATATAAAAATTAATTCAATAAAACAGGCTTGCTTTTAATTATTTTTTTAATAAAGTAAATCGAAAAATTAAAAATAAAATGTATGCTGTTGTAAATGTTTAAAAAAGTTGGACATATTATTCAAATGAAAACTTAACCGCCGAGACAACGTGGTCGTAGTGTGTCCAACATAAATATTATTTTTCCGTTGACGATACAATATCTCAGAGGACATTTAAATTTATAAACAATGATGTTTTTTTGCAAAACATTAGCAGGTGAGGAAGAGTCGTTACGGATAATTGTAGTAGGTATACTAGATTTAGTGTAGTATATAATTCCTTTTATTTTTTACGAGGATCTGTGGTGGATATATACGTATTTATTATTTCTTTAGGATATTTACATCTTGTTTATAATTAGAATGCATTTGGTTACGATATAAAGGATTAATATGTTTGGGATTAGTTGAAGCAGTATATTATATTCTATTTGTAATAAAATTTCTCATACAACATCTTATTTGTTGTTTTATTTGTTTAGTTCACTGTAGAAAATCTGTTTTATGGATGAATTAATTTTTGCACGGTTTATTAGGTTTTTATAATTGCTATTTTATAGTAATTTAGACATTCACTCTTATAGTTAAGAGAGCACGAATTTATGCTGGTAGATTTTTTATATGGGAAGATAGTGAATTTATTGCTATTATTGTTTATCAATATATCTAGAGTAAAAATAATTGTGTCTTTAAGTTCGTATGCAAAGTTAAGGACACACTTACCCTGAAAATCTTTGGGAGTTGACGTATTTCTTCCACATTCTTGAATAATATAAGAATATCATCGACGTATCTTAGGTAGATGGAGTTTGTTTTTAAATTGTTAGATATATTTTTTCCAACATTAGACATATAGTAATTGTAAAAAGTCGTACCCAGAATTGAACCCATGGAGACGCCATATATATATATATATATATATATATATATATATATATATATATATATATTACCAATTTGTGACTGGTAGTGATAATTCCACGAAGGATATTAATCCAGAGAATGGTCAAAAGGTAAACTACAGAGAATAATAATAATAATAATAATAATAATAATGATAATAATAATAATAATAATAAATCAAGAAGAAAACCTGCGGAGGGTCGTTTGGGGAACTTGTGGCACATTCTGCACCCGATCTCTGTATTCGGATCTTCAAAAAGTGTGGTTGGTTCTGCACAAACCCTTTACCACCTATAATCACATCAATGTACAGGCTGTCATATTGTCGGTTCCTAGGAACTAAGGTGCCTGACCATCATACGTAATAAAATGGTCACCAGTCGACGTGGGGTCAACAGCCGCGTTGATCAACGTTATATATATATATATATATATATATATATATATATATATATAAATTATTACATAAATAATTTAATATATTCCTCAATCAGAGCCGCTATCCATTACACAACCGTGCCTCTTCCAAGTCACCTTTGTACCAATCTAGTACTGCGCTTAAATTCATAAAGTCTACGTACCATAGAGGAAAGTGATATTTATTCTGTACAATACAGAAATGTGGCACAACGTCTTAGGGGGGAATGGGGGAAAGGTCTTCTTCTGTCTTAACTATAACATAGCTAACCGTAAACACTAACCCAATCGTACGAACAATATTCCTTACACCAAAACAACACATTCATACGTACCTTTCTTACTACATTCACCATAATACCTCATTGTCTCTATGAAAATTCTAACTAGTCCACATATTTACAATTCATTGTCTGTGCGGGGGGATAAAACAACAAATTTAAAAATTAGCCCCAATGAGTATTTACAATATGAATACAAATCTATTTAGAAAATAATACAAATAGTAAATAATATAAATAATATTACTATATAGTACCATAGAAGAAAGTTCATCAGAACAATTACCATGAAAGTATTTATAGAAAAAGCATAGGGCAGCTAAGTTACGTCATTGAGAAGCTGAGATGCCAGGTCGGTAGCAATAACATAGCAGATTTCTTTTGGGATTTTATCATCAATCTCTAAATATACAACAGGAGCACCAGACCATATTTGGCAGTAATATTCTAAGCCTGGACGAATTGCAGACCTATAAATATATAAGATATATTCCGGAGAGTATCAGATATTGTCAGTTTATTTTTCTAGGACACATAATGAGGATAGAATGCTTGCAGAATCTGAAATAAACAAGACATTAAGTACAAGAATTGCAGAGGGAAACATCGAGTAAGCGACCTAATAAGCTTGTACAAATGAATAGCAGAACAAGGAGCGATAGCAGGAGACAAATATTGCTTAAGTAAAGAAAGTTGTGGAAAGCCACGTTTGATATGGATCATATAAAAGAAGATGAAATATTTTTTGTAAATTGTGTACGACTATATTTCCTCAAAAATGAAAAAAAGACTTGAAGCCATCAAAATATAATTCGATCAATGAATGTTTGAGAATACCATGGACATATAAAATGTTGACACAGTACAGAGCCACAGATTCACCACAGTAGGTGTTGCTGTTGTGGTTTTCATATCAGTTAGGTTTTTAGAGCTTTAAACTCACAAGCTTTGTTCTTATCGACTATTTACCAACCATGAGAATTTAACCCATAGCCGGAGGGAGAAAAGATGGATTCATATTTTTCCCAAGGATATTTGTACAAAAGGAAATGCAACTAACCTCGCACGCTGATTCTATATTCCGGACCGATAACTGCTACGCTACCCACCCCCAAAAATCATTATACACCGGATATAACAGCAAAATTGTCCAAATTGTGTAACAGCATAATTGTCCATCCCACAAAATGTTTAAGATTTAAAAAGCCACTAAACTAAATGAGTTTTTTCCCAGGTTTTCACATAAGACGTTTAGCCATCTTGATACCAATGACGTAAAAATCACTGAAAAATCCTTTGAGTTATTCTGCTAGAAAGAGAACAGGTGAAAATCGTATTGTGTCAGGTCCACTTTTTTCCCAATTGAGCAATGCTGAGAGGAAAAAGATCATTCAGGCCTTCAGTAATGGTACCAACATTCATACTCTGGCTTCCATTTTCAATGTTCATTCAAGAACTATCAAGATAACATTGACGAAGTTTAAAAAACCGAAGGAACAATATCGAAGAATTCTGGATCAGAAGGACAAAATAGGAAGAGGGATCAGCATTTCAACTTAAAGCTAAAGAAATCAAGAAGATCCAACTGGATCCATAAAACGTTTGGAACGTGAGAGAAGAGTTTCAGATATGACAGCTCAAATAGCAGTGAAAACGTCTTGAAAATGAAATCGTAAGTAAAATCTGTGAGCCAACTTGTTAACCCATGATTGGTTAGAAAAGGCGAAGATCATCTTGAATAAGTTGGGTAATGATCCTGGAAATATATATATATATATATATATATATATATATATATATATATATATATACACACACACACACACACACACACACACACATATATATATATATATATATATATATATATATATATATATATATATATATATCATTGAACTTTATTTCAATAATTCATACGCTTCCGATTCTTAGCTATGATTAATTAATGATGAACATGTCATTTTCGTTTATGATCGATTTCATTATGATTCTTCTATTAACTCTGGAGAGTAATTATACATTCTTATTGCTCAAAGCAGAGTGCAAGAGTGTTATAAAAACTTCAGAGAATTCCAGTAATATACCTTTAATCATTTCTAAAATACAACGGTTCAAATATTGGTTTAATAAAACAATTGTGCTTTTACACGAGTTAGACAATTTTGCTGTTACAACGGGTATATTGGTGTAAATTTGAAAAGTCTCGAGAAGTAGGGGTCCGGACGCCGAT